GTGTGGCCGGCGCCGGCCCCCGCCGCTGAGCTGTGACCATCAGCGCGCTCCCAGCCGGCCGGCGTGGCGTCATCATGTCCGTGGTGCCGCCCAACCGCTCGCAGACCGGCTGGCCCCGTGGGGTCAACCAGTTCGGCAACAAGTACATCCAGCAGACTAAGCCGCTCACGCTGGAACGCACCATCAACCTGTGAGTGTCCGGGGCCCGGCCGCGGGGCCTGCGCCGGGGTGGAGTGGTGCTGAGGGGCGGCCGCGCTGTTGCTCGCAGGAGCGGGGGTTGCTGGTCCCCGAGGCGCGCCTCTGCCGCGGGCATGGGCTCACCTGTCCCCGTGGGACTGCCTCGGCGCGCTTTGCCCGCCCGGGGAGCTCTGGGATGCCCAAGGGAGGGCGGGGCCGCTGGCTGGAGGCATCCCCGCCCACCCCCGTGTTGTCCCTGCGGGTCGAGGAAGCAGTGGGCTGGGAGACAACGCGCTCTGGAGAAGTGAGCTTTCCCTGAGTTAAGCTGGGTTCAGTCTGCAGACAGTGGCTCTGTCACTGAGACTTGTACCTGAGTGAGTCTTGCTCCCTGGCCTGTTGATCAGACAGTTCAGGGTCTCTCTGGGACGTTCAGGGACACTCTAGTAGCCCAGTTAGTCCTTCACTGCAACAACCTTTTGTTCCCAAACTTTTATGCCATGTTTCCTGCATATTCACTATTTTTACTATTACTGGCTTCTCACAGGTTACTTATGGAATCAATTTCCTACCATTGGGCATTTTCCTAAAATATCATGCATAAACACACCCATACGATTAAAGCCCCATACCTGCGTACCTTTCTTATCACATGCCCTTCTTGTACATCTTTCCTCTCTGTCCGCTCTTTCCACCATTGTCACTATCAGTGCTGATGCTCTGACAAAATGTGCAGCTGCTTGCTCAGCTTTAACCAGATAGTGACCTTGCAACACCTCACAGGAGTGGACACCAGCATTTTATGGCTACAGTTTCACTCAACTGTACCTATCCTGATAGCAAGGAGTTGGCCTGGGATGTAGAAATATCTCATTTGACCTTTGTTTGCTGTTTAGTGTTTGCCCACGGCACAAACACTGGCACTTAATTTCTGAACTGGAAGCCATAGGAGGTAACATGGCTTGTGCTTCAGCATTAAAGATTCCTGTGCCGATGTTTTGTAATAGAGCTACCCCAAGAAAGTACTTTCAGTAGGCGACCTGCTGCAGCAGGTCAGATCTCTTGCTGTACAGAGGATTCTGGTGCTTTCTGCTTTGATAAGCAGAGTTTTACAGTTGCAGCAACAGCACATGTTAAGTATCATAGCCAATATTTAATCTTGAGTATTGCACCCTTAAAAAGATGGCTACTCATCAGTTTGCATGGCTCAGTTTATCTTCACATCCAGAAGAGATTAGTCTTGCTTAATGTTAACCGTTGGTGATATTGGACTAATCATAAAGTTTCTTTCTGGAGAAAAAATAATCAGCAGAAAACTTAAAATATGGGGGAATTGCATGCTACCAGTTGTTGGCTCAAGTTAAGGAATATGACATGCACTTGAAGAAACCATCAATGTTAGTATGGTGAACATGTTTTCATACTGAGAAAATAAATCATATTAAATATTTTGGGGTATATAAAGAGTGGTAATATAAGAAAAATATCGGAAAGAAAAATTAAACAGCACCAAGTTACAAGCAAAGATAAGAAAACATAAGAGAATAGTACTACAGAGATTAAAAGTAGCAGCAATCAGAAGGAAGTGACCTGGATATGAGAGAGTTTTGATATTTGAAAAAGCGATGCTCAGTAACTCAGCATAGTGATGCTGAATAACTCTATATGTGAGAGAGGGCTCTAGTAATTTGGAGGTCTAACCTGCATAGTCTGTGTTGGACAATGGTGGAACTTCCAAAGTAGCACTGCATTTAGGAAATTTGTGCTCTCCCTCAGATTTAGGTCTTAGAAAAGAGAAGCTTTAAATGGATTTCACATAGGATGTTCACAGTTAGCTTGATGATCCTACCAAATCTTGATTTATTGAGAAATGCATACTGGCATTTTTCACCAGAGCATCTGAATACCACAGATTCTTAACTAGGGTGCTGTGGTACCCTGTCGTGCATTAAGATCCTTTCGGGGTGCCACAGGATTGTCAACAGTGCAAAGTTAGCATTGTTAGGTCTGTAAACATGATTCACAAGGTAAAGCCAGAGATTGTAACTAGGAATCTGTAATGTTAAAATTATTTTGACTTGCTTTGGTCTTTCTGAGTTCTTAGCAGCAAAGTTGTATTATTTTTCTGTTGTCAAAAAACAAGTGAAAGCTAAGAGCTGGCATTTTCTGAGGGTGTCTTAAAAGGTTTGAGAACCACAACATGATTTAAATTACAGATCAGCAGACTCTAAGAGATTCTTTTAGAAGCTTTTACTATAAGAGTTGTGAAATAGAAAATTATTTTCTTTAGGCTTTAAGAAGCTCTCTTAATTTAGGCAGACACTTAGATCCAATAGGTCTCAGAGGGGTGGAACCTTTACAGTGAATGCTTTACAGCCATGTGTGGCAAGCTTTAAAAACTTGGAGTAGTCAGTCAATGTGACTTTTTTTGTTTTGTTTTTGGTTAAGTCTTGTATTGGTGGAGTGACAGTTGCTTAAATAACCCCAGATAATTTAATTTGACTTAATAGCTCACCTAGAACACAATAAGCACCATATATCAACATATCTTATCATAAATACTGTGAAGCAGGTATCATTCCTGCCCTTGCAAAATACATATGGTGAATGCTACCTGAAGGTTAGTGTGCAATTGTGCACATGAGAACTGATTTAGGTGTCTTGGACCTTTTTTCTTTTCTTTAGGTATCCACTTACAAATTATACATTTGGTACAAAGGAGCCGCTTTATGAGAAGGACAGTTCAGTGGCAGCTCGGTTTCAGCGCATGAGGGAAGAATTTGACAAGATTGGAATGAGGCGGACAGTAGAGGGTGTTCTGATTGTACATGAGCACAGGCTGCCCCATGTATTACTACTGCAGCTGGGTACAACATTCTTCAAACTGTAAGTGTAAACTGGTATTGTCAGATGTAAGAGGTCAGCTGGTAAATTGTAGGCTACTGTGGTGGTTCAGTGTGTATTGACTGTTTTAGTTAATTGCATGGGAGAGAGTGTTTTGAGGCATTTCTTTTGCAGACAGCTGATTTCATCTGCTGACCACGTTAATATTTTGTTGGGGCTAGATTTGAACCAGTTAGTGATCTTAATTGCAGAACATGCCATCTACGAGCATATTGATATTTGATGTTTTCAAAGCTCATCGCTAATAGCTATGGGCTCTGGAAAAAGGCCATAATCAAAAGAACTGTTCAGATAAACGTGCTTGTTAAGACATTAAAACTGAATTTAAAAATTAGCTTCTTGTACTTTACCTAGTTCCCATTTTTACATCTTAGCATGTAAGGTGAAGGGAGACTAGTTCAGTTTAGAATTGTGTGAAATTTACAAAGCAGCAGCAGCAAACAAAATGGGGTGGGGGAGAATTATTGATCCAACCTCTTTCTCAGTGTCAGATTGCATCCTTCCCTGCAAAAGAAGTTTTTCAAATTTTTGTGCAGTTTTATCAGTGATATTTTTGATGGTGTTCAAGTACATAAGAGTAGTGCTTCCAGTCAAACCCATACCGTAATCTGCTTTTATCCAGAAACCATTAAGAACTTAGTTAAATTTTTTGTTGTCAGACTATTTCCTACTTAGCTTTACAGATCAAACGTGGTTTTTTTAATGAACAAACTTTTTGTAGCTATCCCAGAATATATTGGAAGTAATCTCTGCAAAAAAATAAAAATCATAGATGCAGCATGTGCCACCCTGTTTAAAAGTTCCACCTTGCTGTCTTTACTCTTGGCTATTTGCTCTTCTGAAAGCTTGATGATTAATGTGTAATCTTCTATATTGGGGCAACGAGACTCCTTTAAATTTGCCTGTTAATGTGTCTGTAAACAAAATAAAACGTATATATTTTAACTGTCATCATTTGATTTTTATTTTAATAGGCCTGGTGGTGAACTAAATCCAGGAGAAGATGAGGTAGAAGGGCTCAAGCGTTTAATGACAGAGGTCTGTTTTCTTCATTTATCTTTGTTACAGTTGACTTCCAGCTACCATTGACTGCTTGATTATTTTGGGTCAAAGCATTGAATTAACCTTTTTAGCATCGTCTTCCTTTGGGACTTCAGCAATTGTGCACAAACTGCTCTCTGGCAGTTATTAAAGTATATTGTATGTCTTTATTTCTGTATTAGTTGTATTGTGATAGTGCCAGAGAGCTGGAGAATGATCCAGTGATTTACAGCTGCTC